TTTCTGTTGGGAAGGCCCGCCTATACATCAATGTTTTTAGTTGTTTCTTAAAAATGCCCAGCGAGGGAGCCGCGCGAATCTCAGGGGGCAAGTTGAACCTGAATAAGATGGAGATCTTGCGGGTGGTTGCTCCCAATGTCAGTGGTTTGGGGAACTCTCTCTTTTGGGGGAGTGACTCTCACCACAAAGAATGTGGTTCGCAGTCTGGGGGGGGTCCATCTTGACCCGGCACTTACCATGGAGATCCAGATAGCATCTGTGGTTTGGTCTGCCCACTTAAACCTTTGGCAGATCACCCAACTGCATCCCTAACTAGACTCGGGGGCACTCACCATGTTAGTCCATGTGCTCACAGTCTCAAGAATAGACTGCTGTAATGCTCTCTATGTGGGGCTTCCTTTGAGACTGATGTGGAAGCTTCAAATGGTCCAGAATACAGTGGCCAGGCTATTAAATGACGTGCAAAGATTCCACCATATTTCCTCCACCCTGGCCAGCTTGCACTGGCTACCTATTCGCTTCTGCATAAATTTCAATGTGTTGACTATTACGTACAAAGCCCTAAACCATTTAGGCCCTCGATACTTCGCAGAGTGCCTTCTTCTGCCTAGTTCTGCCCATATCACCTGTTCTCATCAGGCCGGGCAGCTGAGGAGCCTAACGCCGAGAGAGGTCCAAAGGGAAATTTTTTTAAAAACCGGGCCTTCTTGGCAGTGGCCCCTTGTCTCTAAAACAACTTTCCTGTAGAGATTCACACGGCCCCCTCACTGAGGGCCTTTAAGACCAATCTGAAGATATGGCTATATTGGCAGGCCTTCCCTACAGCCATCACCTAGCCTATCTCTCTTTTTTCTTTTTTCCAACTTGGATTCTGTTGTTAATTTGCATCTTATTACATATATATTTCCATTTCTTTTTTATATTTTGTGTAAACTGCCCAGAGTAGACATGTTCTAAATGGGCAGTATATAAGTTTAAATAAATAAACAAACAAATAAACAAATAAATAATGTTGTTGAGAGGAAACATCATTCCTCTCACCTTGGGGCCAAGGTCCTCTTCTCAGGCTCAGCTAGGAAAATGCTAAGCTCCAAGTGACAAGGTCATCCAGCAGCCTCATCCAAAATGCTGCCAAGGTGGTCAGGGGCAGGAATGTCTGGAGATGATGGCGAGGCCTGCCTGGGCTGGGAAATGGAGCTGCACACCCGTATCATTCAGCCTACAGGTTCATTCCCTTTTTAGCCATGACAGAGGAGGTCCATTTTCTGTTATGTGGGACTTTTTTCCTGAAAAGAAAATACAGAAACTATTCTTTACTGAATGGAGAAAAATTTAGAAAATGGACATCCCCTGCTTCATCATATTGTGTTCTCAGATTGACTTCTAATCATCCTCCCTACCACCAGGACCCCTTCAAGCCGCATATTTGTCTAGTTTTACTAATCAGTCCATCTGGTGGAGGTCCACCATCTTCTCCCAGATGTTTTCATTGCCCAATATAATGTGACCATCAGCCTGGATCCAAAGAGGAAGGGAGAGAAGGCCTTTTGTAGGATGTTCACACCTTAGGAGCAAGCTGCCTTATTTCAGGGTCCTGCCTACTGTGCAGATGTTTAAGGCCTGCAACAAGACAAAGGAAGGGCTGGGGATGGACTGACATTAGAATTTACAATAGAATCTTCCTGCAAGACCTTCCGTGGGCTACACCAGTGGTCCTCAACCTTGGGCCTCCAGATGTTCTTGGACTACAACTCCCAGAAGCCTTCAGCACCACCTCTGCTGGCCAGGATTTCTGGGAGTTGAAGTCCAAGAACATCTGGACGCCCAAGGTTGAGGACCACTGGGCTACACCTCCTTCAAAAGTCACTTCTTTTTGCATTTTTTTCAAAAGGAAATGTGATTGACAATCCATTTCTCATAGGAAGTGGAAACAACGGAGAAAATTCCTTGGACGCCATGGTATTGGATTATTACGTGCCAGTCTCTAACATTCCATTCATAGGCAAAGAGCTGGAGAGGGTTGCTAATCCCAGAGTCTTCTAAGAGGAGCATTTCTCCTGATGGTAGGGGGACCACAGCAATGGGTACACCTAGAGGCAGTCAGTGGGCTGTAAGTCGCCCACCTCAGCTATTCCTCTTAGGGAGGATGCTGCTGTCCCTGGGTGACTTCAGGGGTAATTTAGCTAAGCATGCAGTACCTTGGTGTGTCAGGCAAAGGCTCCCTCTCTTTCTCCTGACTGCTGTCCTTTTCCTCTTCTGATGAATCCTGTGACTGAGAGTGACGTTTTAAACCCCAGGCTGCCGTGTTCCCCAAATCATGTCTGGGAGCAGGACTAGCCTATTCTTTCAACAACAAGAAGCAAGGGAGAGCCATTCTAGGAGAGTTTGAGGTCTGAACCTAGAAGGAAAACATTGGGTGCCCCCAGAGGTAGAGAAATCCGGGCCTTTCTTTCCTTTTCTTGGGGGGTAATATTCTCCCACCATCTTCGTAATCTCCACAGGCTCCATGTCACTAGATGAAAGAAGCAGCCACATGAAATGACAGACAAGCTCTGCAGATGGTGGCTCCATCTAGGCCAGGGGTCTCAAACTCAATTTACCTGGGGGCCGCTGGAGGCAGAGCATGGGTGAGGCTGGGCCGCATCAGATTTTTCACCAAGTGGAGCAAGAGTCCGAGGAAGCCGCCCAGGAGTTTCCTTATCCCGGCTGGGGCGCGTGAGCCCTCGTCGCCAGCCACGACCCCCTCCAGCTCCTTCTCCACTACCATCACCACCACCACCAGCAGCAGGACGAAGAAGCGGAGAAGGGAGGGAGCGCTGGCGACTGCCTAGCCAGGGGGAGAAGAGCACGACATTAAAAATTTTTTAAAAAACTCACAGGATTTGCCTTGCCAAAGGAGAAAAGCTGCCACCGGTACCCGCAAAATTAAACAGAGTGAGGCGGGGGGCCCCACAGGTGTGTGCACGCTCGCACACAAACACACACACACGTACGGAGTTCCAGCAACCTTTATCTGAGGGCCCCCCTCAGAAAAAGGCACACTCAGCAGCAGCTACCCTCACCACAACAGAGGAGCAAGCTTTGCGAGGCGAGCCCAGGAAGCCTCCAGAGCCGAGGCAGCTGAAGCAGGACGAAGAGGAGGAGGAGGATGCACCGCCGGGCACTGAGGTGGCGACTGGCTGGGCTGGTGCTGGGGGTGCTGAGAGAGAAAGAGAGCCAGAGAGCCACTTCCCTGGAAGAGGCAGCAGTGGCGGCAGCTGCTGTTGGCGGCTTAGAGGTGCTCTTCAAGGATGGGTCGGGAGCGAGCCCCGCTCTCAGGCATTGCTCAGCGGCGGCTCAGGTGCTTGGGGAAAAGGGCCAGCAGCACACCTCACTCGCCGGCTCTCCACCAAGACAGTGCCTCTTGCACCCTCCATCCGGAACTGCAGCCTGCCAGCCAGCAGACAGGCGGGCCGGCTGGCAGACTGCAGTTCCGGATGGAGGGTGCAAGAGGCACTGTCTTGGGCGCTTGACTCTTGACAGCAGAGGACGCGTGAGTGCTTCGGGGGGGCAGGCAAGACGGGGGCCACAAACTAGACCCCTGATCTAGGTCAACACTGCAAGAAATGGGACGCAGATCTCCTGCTCATGAAGCACTCTGAAGACAGCAGCCACAACTCTCTTGGCTCCCTTTTTTGAGCGGCTGCATAGTGACCTCTGTTTACACTGGGATACCCTAGCTGGAGAACAAAACTCTAAGCAGGAGCAATTGAGCATGCTGCCCATAGACAACAAGTCAGGATTCTTGGCTGTTCCTGCCTTTCAATTTGCCTGAACCTCAAAAGACCCAAACCAGAAGGGGGTACCTGTCTGGAAGGGAAGAAGGGATCCACTTCTCATCCTCAATACTGTTGGTGTCATCCAGTGAGTCTCCTTGTTCAGGGGAGTCCTGCATATCTGGTTCATCTGTTAGTTTGTTGAAAGACAAATCATTCTCCAACTCAAACTCAGTTAGACCTGGAGTATTGTGTACAGCTCTGGTTGCCACACCTCAAAAAAGACATAGTGGAACTGGAAAAAGTGAAGTGACTAAAATGATGACTGGGCTGAAGCATCTGCCTTATGAGGAAAGGCTACAGCATTTGGGGCTCTTTAGTCTAGAGCAGGGTTCTCCAAACTATGGCCCCACATGTGTGTGTGTGTGTGTGTGTGTGGGCATCCGTCTGTCCATAAGAGGGGCATGTGTGCGCACGTGCAGGCAGGGGTGTGTGTGTGCAGGAGGGTGTGCATGTGTCTGTGTGTGCATGCATGTGGCTGCACGTGTGGGTGTGCACACACATACCTGTTCCTTCAGGCCGCAAAAAGTTTGAAAACATCCAGTGTGGCTCTCACTGTAAAAAGTTCTGCAACACCTGGTCTAGAGAAAAAGCACTTGAGGGGAGGCATGATTGAGATGTATAAAATTATGCAGGGGTGGATAAAGTGAATAGAGAGAAGCTCTTTTCCCTCTCACACAATATCAGAACCAGGGGACACTCAAACTGAGTGCTGGGAGAGTGAAAACACACAAAAGAAAATATTTCTTAACCAGCATGTTGTTAGTCTGTGGAACTCCTTGCCACAGGATATGCTGATGGCATTTGGTCTAGATGCCTTTAAACGGGTGTGCCAATCACCCTGCTTTGGCTCATGTAGGAGATTATTTACATACACCAATGGGAGCTGTTGGGAGGCGGAGCCAGAGAAACTAGAAGAGAGGGGTGAGAGAGAGTTAGTCAGTTACAGTCAGAGAGGAGAGTCTGACATGAGAAGCCAGTTAAGGAGCTTGCGTCAGAGATGGGAGTCTGAAGTAGAAGTTAGTTTGTAGGAGTTAGAGCGTGTGGTATAGCAAGGAGTTAAGGTAGGCAGTTAAAAGTGTGGAACTTATAGAGAGCTAAGAGAGTTAAGAGTGAAGCAAGTTATTACTGATCTAATGAATACTTTAAAGTCTGTGAAGAACCTGTTTAAGCGAACTGTAACCAATAAACCTGCTTTGTTCAACTTTATACTCAGTTTGGACCTCAATCTTTCTAATTAAAAGTGTTGATAGAGGTCAACTGGTGGCACCGTAAAGGAGAGAACGTGTCCTCGGCCTCAGGCTAGTGAAAAAAAAAATGGGGACATGCAGGGGACACACCACAACAGGGACTGGACAGATTTCTGGAGGAAAAGTCAATCGCAGGTTACAAGCCATGATGGAAATGTATAATCTCTAGGCTTAAAAGGGAGGTACCTCAAAATGCCAGATGCAGGGGAGGGGTATCAGGAGACAGGTACTGTATCTAGTTATCTCTTGTGCTCCCAGAGGCATCTGGTGGGACCACAGTGAGATACGAAGCTGGACTAGATGGGCCTGATCCATCAGGGCGCTTCTTATGTTCTTATTTTCAGAACTAAGAATTCTATCTGTTTGAAGTGTTCTTCTGGAAAATCAAGGCTAAGGGATGGAAAAGATTTGGACTGGAGAAATGGGAAGCAAGAGGCTTAGCAGAGAAAAGCGGTTTGTTCTTTTCAAGTTAAAGGAAGTAGCTGGGACAACTCCCCCCCCCCAAAAAAAAGTGAAATGGTGGGGAAGGGAAATGGAAAAACATAGTGTTGCATGGCTGCAGCTGAAAAGATGACCACCCACCCTCTGCAGATGCATGTAAAATGGAGAGCTTGTCCTTATTTACCCATGGGGAGAAAGACTGTTCGACATCATATGTATTGTACTTCTACGGCTCTGGAAAACTGTAAGAAATGTCTGTATTTGTAAGATTTAAAAAGAAGAGGACTGTTTTTTGTATCAGGAGATGATCTCCTCCCCTCCCCTTTGTCCATCCATCCAACTTTCCAGGTGTGAGCTACTTGAGTCCCCATTAGGGAAGTTAGCATGGGTGCCAGGAGGACAACAGGCACAAGGTTCTGGCTGCAATGAGAGAACCCTTTGTCCCATGGTTTGGAAATGGGCTGGGTCGCTCCATTTTTCCAGCAACCACACAGTATCCAAGCAATTGCAAACTAGCCTGATCTTTATCCATATATAAACATACCTTTTTGGGTTTCTGAAAGGGGCTCCTTTTTTTCTTTTCCTTTTTTCAGTATGGTTGGATTGCTTTTTCTTTTTTCTTTTCTTTCTTTTTTTGGTTTTTGTTTGTTTGTTTATTTGTTTTTGGTGCAGTTCTGCCATACATGAACATTGATACTGAACCAAAGCAGATCGCTTAGCTGTCACTATCCTAGGCTGCAGCAGGATCTAAACTTTGACCAGGTAAAAAAGAGGCTACTATTGATGAAAACAAAACTCAGCTTCCTCCCACTTCCTCTGACAATTCGGCTGTCTAATTGCACCCCCTCTTTCTGTTTGTCTAGTTTTCTATGGTGAAGGATGATGATATTATATAACACCCAGTCAATCCTGCTTGCTGTGGGAGAGACTAAAAAGACCATGGGCTTATGCTTCCTGGCCATAGCAGTACCTCCCTTGTCTGGCTTGGTCCCTCCCAAAGAACAGGAGAAAGAAGCCACCAACAAACCCTGTGTTCTTTCCCTTGTTGGTAGAGAGGGTAGAAGCCTGAGAAGGAAGGCTGCTGGCTTATGGTATCTAGTCAATTCCCTTGTGGATTGTAAATTTAAAAGATCTAAACTCTAAACAGACCTTTTAGAAAAGGCACATATTTGGATCTGAAAAGGCACATTACAGAGAGGAAACTGAGGCAGTCTTTCAACCTTTGTGAAATCAGGCTTCAAAGGAACTGCTTTCTTAAATCCTGAAGGCATGCAAAGCAAGCTAAGCAGCTGAATCCCAGAGTTAAGAGAAGCTCTGGCATTCAGATACTGTATGTGCTAAGGATATTCCACTTCCAGTCAGGAGCTCTTTGGAACATCTATTTTTTGGTTCTGAGAATAGTCTACCTGGCAAGATTAGGAGAAGGGAAGTGCTTTCTGCCCCTTAGCTGCTTGATGTCCCCCTGCAGGTCCTGGCCTTCTATGGAATCCTAGGGACAGAAATCATCCCACTGTTCATTCCTTCCTTTCAAAGTTGAGCTTTCCCTATCCCAACACCAAAAGTACCTTCATGGGGGCTCCCTCCTCCCCATCTTGCAGCATCCCAGAGTTATATGTTTGAGCTGCTGTCATTCAAATGAGTACTTTCTCTTCTAGCGCCACAATTTAGTCTCATAGACAGGGATTTCTTTCTTATCGTGTCTGGATGCTTCTTCAGCACTATATGTTTTGATCTGCTGCACTGTTGGGACACTAGAATTAAAAATGACAATGTGTAAGAAGCTATGAAGTCACAAGGGAAACCCTAGCTTTCCAATTTTGGAGAGAACAATGTGGGCTCCATCTCCCCATCTCCAAAGTGAGAGATCAATGTGCAGTTCACATACACCAAAGGAGGAAAGCCTTCCTCTGCCCATTCCTTCCTTCCCACACTAAGGAAAAGATACCAATCCGGTACTGGGTGATTGAACCCCAATGTTGGGGTTCAGCTGGCAATCACATGCACCCAACCAGAACCTCCACCCCACCCATTCCTTTCCTCCCCTGTAGAGAAAAAGGTACCTTACTGGATAGAAAGAAGGGCTCTGTGTCTCACTCCTATTTTCCATCTCAGTAGATATTCTCTTCATAACCACGAGAGTCTGTGACTGAGAGGGGAAAAATGCATGTTTGGTTGCTCCTACCAAAGCCCACCTCTCCCTTTATATCACTTTCAATCCCCTCCATGGATCTCATTTGTTCATTCTTTAAAACAAGGGTATTGTTCAGATAAAAGCATATTGCAATTTAGGAAGTTAGTTTCAGCATTGGGTGCATATCACCCTCGGGAATATAAGCCTGACAGGGCAAACCCTGTGGGGACAAGGGAGAGGGCCTTACATCTTTTCCCACTGGTGACATTTTTCACTGCAGCTCCACCCACCATGCTATTGTTTCCCACCAGCTTCTACATGCTTTTTTGTTTGCTGAAACACAGTTGGAATCTTGCACAAAAAAGGATGATGGCAAAGCAGAAGAAGTGGTGAGAGAAAAAAAGATACTTCTCTCCACCTGCCTCCTGCAGATTGCACCCTCCTGTTGCTCCTTCACCCAGGAGAAATAGGGATTCTTACCTGTTTGTGAACCTAAGGTGAAGTCAAGCCCTGGATTTCCTCACTACACACAATCTTAGAAGGAGAAGGGAGGAAAATTGGGTGGCTGTTTCATGTGGGGACAACCTTTGGTTTCTTATCTGTGCTTCAGGAGATGTCTGGATGTCGTATACCCTTCTTTCTTCAACACCGCTGGCTCTCCCAAACTCTTGGGGACTGAAAAATGAAGGAAGCCAAATCGTGTAAAATATAAAAATCATAGAAAATCCAAACAAGATGAGACAAAGGACCATGAGACCACTCCTGTGGTCTGTAGCAGAGGCTGGGCAGATGGCTCAAGGAAACTCAAATGCTATCATGAAGGTAACTGTGATCTGCCACCATCAGCTTTTCAGTGAAGAATCAGTGGACAAAGCAACTGCTATGTAGCTAGAAAGGGTAGAAGTTGGTTTTTGGGAGAACAAGAAGAAATCACAATGTCTGGTAGAGCCTGGAAAGTGTAGTCCAGAAAATAGCAAACCTTCCACTTTAATGCCAGCCACAGAATCTCCATGTCCCTATTAATTCTTCCCTTTTCATTCATCTCCTTCTTCCCTGGCATTACCTTTGAAGGTCAGTCCAGCCTCCCTGGGATAGGGGTTTCCAGACCCTGGGAACAGTCTCCCAAAAGGCTCCCATTCTTAGCAAATTTGACTCTTAAGGATGAAGAACTGATAGGAAGTCCTGCCCTGCCATCAATACGAGCTCTTTTTGGAGTGTATTGCCACTGCCTGTTCCTGAGGAATGCAGTCCACCTTGCTGGTGAGTTAGTTATATGGTTCCATTTCAGTGTCATTGAGCAGAACCCAGTGAGGAATCCACTAGACTGCTTTTTTGCATGTATGCGAGTGAGTGTAATTTTTAGAGAGACAGGGCCTAATCTGAATGGCTAATCCTGGCCATTGAATCTATAAGACTTTAGCTGTCTTCCCATCCAGCAACTCATTAAGTGGGTCTCCTCTCCCTGGAACCAGCAGTTGGGTTGAGACCCCTGTGAATGGATTTCATGGGGAGCTGGAAAGCATGTGAGGGAAACTGAGCGGTTCTCGGCCTGTGCTTGTGATTTCTGAGCAGGGCAAGCCCAAGAGACATCACTTGGGGTGGCAGATACAGCTCTGGGGTGGTACCTCAGCTTCTTCAAGCAATGCAATCAGACCTGAGTAGTTCTTGGTCAATTCAATATGATAAGGGGTGAGTGGGGTAGCTGCCACTGTGAAACAAGATGGGAGGGGAGAACCCTGAGACTGGGTTGCCATTGGCACAACTGCCAAAGCCAGAACTGAAAGACTAAAACAGACATCCAGTGTTCCCTTTTGTTTTCATGTGCAGATAAATTCAGGTGGAGTTTTCTCCCACCCCATCCCAAATACATTTGCGGAACTTCACTTCCCTCGGTTTCTTATATGGTTCCTCTTGTGGAGCGGAGAAAGAAGTGAGTCTTGAGTGTCTTGAAGGAGTCAGACCCAAACTCTGCTTCAGCCAGCTCTCCTTACAGTCCCTGGGCACTCTGCAGCCCCAGTCTCCACTGCCTCATGTTGGGCACCCTGAATGAAATCTTGATGACAACAATGATCACTGCCAAGTGACTTGGCACGAGCCTCAGTGTGTCTCTCTGGGAAAGGGAAAACTATCTGAGACACTCAAATGCATTTTACATTTGCAATATGCTTTTGTTTCAACTTGACCCTTTCTTTCATTCCATGTTAATGGTCAGAGTTCTCCTCTTCCAGCACTCTGACCATTACTTAACATGGAATGAAAGAAAGGGTCCTTCTTCCAGGTCATCCTATTCCAGCTTCCCCACCCCTACCCTAGCAATGAGGTAGCGTCTCATTCCATGGCCACTGGGGATCTTCAGATATATCTTCAGCTGCCTGGAATTGAATCCCAAGTCGTGAACATGGTTTTGGCTGCAGTACAGCAGGTTAACCACTGTGCCACAAGGTGCAGGGAGGAGAGCATGGGTTAGCTTGGAACCCTGTTGTTATGGCAACCATTTAAACAGCCATGGCTCTGGTATCCAAAGCAGCAACAGTCAATTTTTGAATCTATACAAGAGCTGTCACTGAAACTAGGCCTGGTCATGAAGGTTGCCAACTACCTTTCTGGCACTGCTCTTGATTCTTACAGCCTAGAGTGGTGACGATGACCAGATAGGTGGGGTATAAATAGAATAAATAAACAAAAATTCTGACAACTAGAAAATATGCTTTTGGTTACAGAAGCACAGTTGCCTATGAGTGATAATCACTTCTGCAAGTGACACACACACATGCTGTTCATATTTCTTTGTTTTCCCTTCTACTGCCCTCCCACCTTTGAAAGTGACCCTCTGGCATCACCCAGAAGTGAGGGTCTTAAGACTTTTTGACAAGTTTGAAGGGTGTTTCCTTTCCCTTTCCCATCATGAATGTTGAAAATATGGAAACTGCCAGCAGGATTTGGGGATGTAGGGCAGCTGGGCAACTCAGCCAAGGAATTCTCCAGGTTTCCCACCTCAAGGGGCACTGGGGCTTTTTTGGCCCATTTGTGTTAGAGAAACATTTCTGATAACTAGATTTGTGTCAAATCATGTTCCTTGTATTTGTGGGCATCCATTTCATGGAGCAACTGTGTCCTGTTTTTGAAAATATGCCCCTTAATTTCTCAGAGTTGAGAAGATTTATTTGGACTGACCAGTGTAGGGGTCATGGCAGTGTGTAACTGTCTCACTGGCGCAGAATTCTTCCTCAGGCTGTAGACAGTGAAAACCACCTTGTCAGCAGACTGATTTCTGTCTGAAATGGGGCATTGATAGGTTTTCCTTTTCTTTCCCCCCTTTTTCAGGGGATTAGCGCTCTGGGGCCAATCTCATTGTTCAAGAACTGGTGCACCAATGGTTTAGGTGTAAAGGATGGTGGAGGGCATGGATCTTTCCTGCTAACAGAAACCAAATAATGCTGCAACCCCTACCCCCCTTTTCTTGTTGTAGTGGGTTTTTTTTCTCTTGTTGTTTGGAATACTTTTCCCAAAGTTGGATTTTGTTCAAGTTGAGTAAGGAAAATACACCTCATGTGTGTCACCCCACTCCACATTCCTCCCCTCCACTCTAGCACCCACTGTGACCCCCACCATCATGTGAGCAGTCAATACTCATCCTGATCCATCTCAGAAAATGAGCCATGGCAGACCTTGGTAGCAGCCAAGGACGATTGGAGAAAAAGGTGCCATCAAACAGTGGTAGCCAGAAAGCTTCAGAGGAGCTTCTGTTGGTGATCAAATCCAGAAGACGAGTGAGTGGGCCAGGTCAGAACCCTGTTGTCATGGCAACCATGTAAATACCCACGGCCCTGAAATCCAGAGCAGGAATGGCCAGTTTTTGAATGTATACAAAAGCTGACACTGGAGCAAGCCTGGTCATGGAGGTTGCCATCTGTCCTTCTGGGCCTGCTGCTGTATTTAATAGCAAAACATCCTAACAATCAGAAAGTGTGCTTTTAGTTACAGATACAAAGTTGTCTGTGGATATTCATCAGTTATATAACTAAAATTACAATGTATTTCCCTTGAGTGGGTAGATTGGAACCACAAAGCCAGCTAACTTCTCACTAGGACTTGGCAATTTCAGGCTTCCAGATCTCCCTACTTTTGGATCCCCCCCACCCCCTTCTTTAAATCAGGCTTGGACAGCCCTTCAAGTCAAGGACACCTTCAAAAGGAGGACTGTTCCCCTGGCAAGATCCATTCAAATGGTGGTCTGCCAATGGTAAAAGAAGATATGAGACTATCCTATAGTAGTGGACAGTTCTGTCATTCAATAAAACAGAATGGCAAGGAGGTGCTAAGAAGGAACTGTCAGTGGATCACTTGCTATTGCTGCCCTCCAACATCTGTTGCTTGAAGCTGCTGCCTCTTTTGGCCTGATGATAGATGGAGCACTTGTCACCCCAGAGCATCAAGCCTTGTTTCTTTTCTATTCCCAGTACATGGCACAATGGAACCAGTGCTCAGCAGAGCTTGGAAAGACAACATTTTGGACTACAATGCCCAGAATCCCAAATGGCCATGCTGGCTGCAAGATTCTGCAAGCTGTAGTCCAAAAATTACTTCTCTATGCTTTCTTGCCCAGACTTCATGAGAAGGATGTTCTGATTGAAATGGAACAAAAATGAACACACAGGTATACAAATACATATACATATGTGCCCCTCCATGACAACTGCCTAGAGTTACTTCTAACCTCCAGCTGACTCAATTATTCATGACATCACCTGGCAACTTGGGAGCTTTGATGGAGCTAAGCTCGCAATGCAAAATCTGCCACAGAAACCAGAGATCAGTGTTGTTTTACATATGGGATTGCTGCAGAAGAGAAAGCTAGGTTTGGTGGGTTCTGCTCCTCCATCAACGTAACACAGAGACACTTCACCTTAGGTGCCTCAAAAGACAGTTCCTTTCAACCAACATAGTGCTGAGAATAAATTTTGCTGCTAGTTCTGGTGTTTTATCAGAGACAACCACATCCAAACCTCTCCCAGTCTTTGAGATTGCTTCTGTTACCTCTGCCTTCCATCCAGTGCTATGTTGACCCTGCTGGTATTGTTTGAAACAACATAAGCCCCTTTGTATTTAAAACATTATGAGAAGAACCACCTTGATGAAACTATTCTAGCATAACCTCCTGGCATAATGACTTGTTTGATTGCTATGTAAAAAAAAGGCAAGGATAATTTATTTTAGACAAAACAAAAGGAATTTATTTTGAAAAAAAAGGCATGTAGGGTGAAGGAAAAGAAAAGACTCTGGATATGTAAACAACAGCAAAAAACAAACAACCTTCAACTTCGTATTTCTTCACCAAATATATGCCTAAATCACGCCATAGAGAATACTCTCTATGGCAACAAAAACCAACTGCCTCAGAAGTCAACTCTCAAAACCAAATAACTGCCACATTTCACCTATCTCCTTCCCTATTCATTCAACAACCAATCAGCATTCACCACCATACATAAGTATTCTAACAACCATTTGCAAATCATTGCAGCATTCTTCCCATGCATGTAATTCTACTTTTGCATACAGCCATCTAAACAATAACACACAAATATTACAAATTATAATAGGTTGTTCTTAAGTTTTCAGAGAAGACTATCTTCATCAGCAGCACACTTAGCTTTGCTTCATCACATTCATTC